CCCTCCTTCTCCTGCTCCTGCTCCTCCTTCTCCTCCTCCTCCTCCTCTTCCACCTCGGCCCAGGGCCCTGGGGCGCGTTTCCGACTCGCAGCCGTTTCGGCTCAAGTTTTCGAGCATTCGAGGCCTTCAAGGCCTCGCCCTGCTGACGGCAGCCAGCGTGCCGACTCCTCCGGCCGCGGCGCAGCATGCCGACGCCCGCGGCCGCTCCCGGTCGCCGCGCCGTGCCGAGCACGACGGGGCTTCCCTCCTCCACCTCCTCCTTCTCTTCCTGCATCTCATGCTCCTCCTCCTCCTACTCCTCGTCCTCTCGTCCTCGTCCTCCTCCTCTCTTCCTCGTCCTCCTTCTGCTGCTCCTCCTCCTCCGCTCCCCCTCTTCCTCATCGTCCCCATCCTCCCCCTCCTTCTCCTCGTCCTCTCCTCCTCCTCTCCTCCTCCACGGCGTCGCCGCTCCCGATCCCGATCTTCGACCCGCCGGCGGAGCCCGACGACCAGCTGAGCCGCTTGTTCTGCGACGGCGGCGACGGCGACTACCTCGCGCGCTGCGACTGCGAGGACTACGAGGCTTCGCTCCTCGCCCTCGTCCTCCTCCTCCTCCTCCTCCCCCTCCTCCTCCTCCTCCGCCCCCTCCTCCTCCTCCTCCTCCTCCTCCTCCTCCTCCTCCTCCTCCTCCTCTCCTCTCTCCTCCTTCTCATCTCCTCCTCTCTTCCTCCTCTCCTCCTCCCTCCTCCTCCTCCTCCTCCTCCTCCTCCTCCTCCTCCTCCTCCTCCTCCTCCTTCTCCTCCTCGTACTCCTATCCCCTATCCCGTAACCCGTATACCTATCCCCTATCCCTATCCCGCCTATCCCCTATCCTATCGTCTTTCCTTTCTCCTTTCTCCTTTGTCCTTTCCTTTCCTCCTCCGCGGCTTCGTTGCTGCGCCCCGCCACGACGCGCTCACCCGCCCGGTCCGAGCCCGCGTTCGAGCAGGGCCGCGACGAGGAGTTCGTGACTCCGACGGGCATGCAGGCTTCACTTCTCCCCGTCACCCATCCCTCGCCCATCCTCCTCCCTCTCTTCCGTCTCCCTCTCCTCCTGCTTCTCCTCCTGCTTCTCCTCCTCCTCATGTTCCTATTCCTCCTCCTCCCTCCTCCCCCTCCCTTCGTGCCCCTCTCTTCCTCCTCCTCTCCCTCCACCTCCCTCCTCCTCCTCCTCCTCCTTCTCCTCCTCCTCCTCCTCGCCCTCCTCCTCCTCTCCTTTTCCTCTTCCCCCTCCTCTCCTCCTCCTCGTCCTCCTCTTCCTCCTCCTCCTCCTCCTCCTGCTTCTCCTCTTCTTGCTCCTCTTGCTCCTCCTCCTCCTCGTCCTCGGCCTCGTCATCCTCCTCCCCCTCCTCCTCCTCCTCCCCCCCTCCACCTCCCCCCCCCCCCTCCCCGCCCTCTTCATCTCCTCATCCTCATCTCCTCATCCTCGCCGCCTTCTCCTCCTGAGCAGGAGCAGCGCGCCATGGCCCCGGAGGAGGAGCGCCGCGCCGCCTATGAGGCGAACTACGCAGCGCAGCAGGCTTCGCTCCCGCCCCTCCTCCCCCTCCTCCTCCTCTTCCTCTTTCCCCATCGTGCTCCTCCTCCTCTTCCTCCTTCTCCTCTTCCTCCTCCTCCTCCTCCTCTCCTCCTTTCTTCTTCTTCATCCTCCTCCTTCTCCTCTTCATTTTCTCTTCCTCTTCCCCCTCCCCCTCGCCCTCTTCCTCTGCTCCTGCTCCTCCTCCTCGCCCTCGCCCTCCTCATCCTCATATTCCCCCTCCTCGTCTCTGTCCTCCTCCTCCTCTTCCTCCTCCGCCTCCTCCTCCCCCCCCCCTCCCCCCCCTCCTCTCCTCCTCCTCCTCCTCCTCCTCTTCCTTCTCCTCCTCCTCTCTTGCTTCTCCTCTTCCTTTTCCTCCTCTCCGCCTCCCCTTTCACCGCTCCTCCTTCTCCTCCTCAGCCTATCCCTAATCCCTAATCCCCCCACTCCTCCTCCCCACCTCCTCCCCCTTCTCTTCCTCATCCGGTCCTATCTTCCTCCCGCCTCCTCCCCGCCTCCTCCCCCTTATCTTCCTCCTCCGAGTTGTCCCTGAGCGAGTTTGCCGCTGGCCAGCTACCTCGCACGCGCGTCGAGTGGTGCGCGGAGACGGGCTGCAAGGCTTCGCTCTTCCTCCTCCTCCTTCTCCGCTTCATCTTACATTCTTCCTCCTCCTCCTACTCTTCCTCCTCCTCCTCTTCCTCTTCCTCCTGCTCTCTTCCTCCCCCTCCTCCTCCTCCTCAGCCTCCTCCCCCTCCTCTTCATTCTTCATTCCCCCCGTGCCCCCCCTCGTTCTCCTCGTCCTCTCCTCCCCCTTTCCTCCTCCGCGGTTGGGGCGTGGGCCCCGGCTCGCATCGAGCAGGAGGACTTCGCCTTCGAGACGTGCGACCCGGAGACGGGGAAGACGCGCAGAATTGCGCCGCAGCTCCCTCCGGCGTTTGTCCCGGAGTGGGAAGGATTGGCGGCGAGCAGAGGGGGGTAGGAGGGGTTCTTAGAGTACAGGGTGCGTTTGATATCTGATGTCACATATCACATATATCACTGATCTCTGATATATGACATATGATATGATATATCTTAGAAGCCCTCCGCGAAGAGAGCGGGGGGCTTCTAAGAAGCACGTTGCCTTCTAAGAAGCCTTCCTTCCTCCCCTTACCCTCCTCTGCTCGCCGCCGAAGGGTTCTGGGGCGATGGCTTGGGCGACTGGTTCATGCCATCCGCGATTCCTCCGCGCCCGCGCCAGCCGCCGAGGGCGCCGCTGCCTGAGCCAGTCGTCTAGGACCTCTGGGGCGAGGTCTTGTCGGCCCTGGGCCGATTTTCCACCACCGCTGCCGTGAGTATAGGGTGGGGGAGAAGGAGGGGTCCTCCTCCTGCTCCTCCTCCTGCTCCTCCTCCTCCTCCTCCTCCTTTCTCCTCCTCCTCTTTCCTCCTCCTTTCCTCCTCCTCCTCCTCCTCCTCCTCCTCCGCCTCCTCCTCCTCCTCCTCAAACCCCCTCCCCCTCCCCCGCCGCCCCCCCCCCCCCTCCTCTCCCTCCCCCCTCTGCAAGTCTTGGTGGAAAATCTGCCCGGCAAGGAGGAGAGCTTGGACTGGTGGTGGGACGAGTGGGGGCCCACCGACGACCCCTTGCAGGACATGATGGACGACCTCTTCTTCGGGGACGACAAGAGTCTTGAGGATGACCTGGGGTGCGAGGAGGCTCTTCGGCAGATGTGCGGCGATCACGAGGCTTCGCTCCTCCCCCTCCTCCTCCTCCTCCTCCTCCTCCTCCTCCTGCTCCTCCTGCTCCTCCTCCTCCCCTCCTCCTCCTCCTGCTCCTCCTCCTCTTGCTCCTCCTCCTCCTGCTCCTCCTCCTCCCCGCCTCCTCCTCCTCCTCCTCCTCCTCCTCCTCCCCCTCCTCCCGCCGCCCCCCCTTCTCCTCCTGCGGCCTCGTGCTGCGACGACTCCTGGAGCGACTGGGAGGAGGGCGACGACCAGAGCCAGTTCCAGGCCATGATGGAGGACTTGCGGAAGGGGTGCGACGCCGCGGCGAACGAGATGATCAGGCATTGCGCATTGCGCATTGCACTCCTCCTCAGCCTTCTCCTCCTCCTTCTCCTCCTCCTCCTCTTTCTCATCCTGGGGCAGTGGCGGAAGGGCGACGTCGCGTGGGCCGGCAGCTTCTGAGCTGCGGAGCCGCCTGCGTCGGCTCCTCTGAGCCGCGTGGCCCGGCCGCGCGGTGCCCTCTAGAAGTGCGCCGCCAGCCGCCCGGGCGCGCTCTGACGCGCGGCTGCGTGCCACCTGAAAGCCTCCTCCGTCTCCCTCCTCCTCCTCGGGCTCGGGCTTCGGCATCGGCAGCGGCATCGGGCGTCGGCGTCGGGCATCGGGCGTCGGGCATCCGGCATCGGCATCGGGCATCGGGCATCGGTCTCGGTCGACGAATTGGGCATTGGGCATTGGAAGTTCGGCACTGGGCATTGGCATTGGGCATTGGCATCGGGCGTCGGGCATCGGGCTCCGCCTCGGCATCGGGCAGCATCGGCATCGGTCGGAGTTGAGGTTTCCGCTCGCGCGAATCCAAACCTGACGGTTGGGGTCGAGAGCTCTGGGCGCCAGTGCCAAGGCCCTTGCGTCCTTGCGTTGACACAGAGGTCCACGCGGCCGAGGGTCCAGAGGATCCCCTAGGCATCTGGTCCTAGTGCCAAAGCGAGCTGGGCTGCGCGGGATGAAAGAGCCAGGTGCCTGGGGGATCCCGTGAGACCGCTCTGGTCGATTCGCGCAAGACCTTTCTGGTCGACTCGCTTTTCCTTCTTCTTCTTCCACCTCTCCATGCATGTCCGCATGTGACAATGTTGGAATGTTCGAATGAACAATGGTTCACAATGAGTCATTATTGCCGATGTTTTTTTTTTTTTTTTTTTTTTTTTTGTGTGTTATGCTCGAAGGTATTTTGTATTTTGGAATTTTGGAATTTCATTTTGAATTTAACGCGCAGGGGCTTTCGCATCACTACAGTCTCCTATAGTCTACAGTCTATAGGAGTGATGCGTAGGGAATAGGGCATCGTGCGCGATGCATGGCTGCATGGCATGGGGCATGGAACATGCACCCGACGGTTCATCGTCGTTCCTCAAAGATATCAAAAGTTGTGATCATCAAGCGTCAATCGTCAATCGTCGATCGTCGGTCATCGTCATTGGGCAATGATGCAATTATGCATTGATGGTCATCGGTTGTCATCGGTCATCATCGGTCATCCGTCATCGTCCGTGGAGGAGGAGCGGAGGAGTAGGAGAGGAGGAGGAGGACAGGAGCAGGCAGAGGAGGCACTGACGGCCCCCATCGAGCCTGCGAAGGGTGGGGGTCAGTGTGCCGCCGTTGTCGACGTCGTCGTCTGTGGCGCTTGCTCTCATCGTCGCCCCGCTACTCATCGCCGCCCCCTGATCGTCGCCCCGCTGCTGTGCATGATGCCGTGCCTTGTCTAGCTCGCAACCAGGTGCTGTGGTGGATAGCAAGCGCAAGAGGATGACCCAGAAGAGCCCTTCTGTCAAGGCGACATCCCTGGCGGAGGCTGCTCAGGCGACCGCGCAGCCGCTTCCCGCTTCGACGCCGCAGAAGCAAAAAGGCGGCGGCAGCCCGCAAGCGGCCCCGAGTTCCGGCACCGAGCCCCCGAACCCAGGCCCCAGGAAAGGTCGCGGTGCACCGCCCAGAGATTTGCTTCAGGTCACGCCCTCGCAAACGCAGACTTTCTGCGCTGCTTTGCCCGACAGCACCTACTATTCAGCAACAGAGCTACCGGCCCACGTGCGCCACGCCAAGCGGCTCGAGGTCGACCTGGAGGCGCGCGCGAAGCAGTACGAAGAGGACTCCACCGAATGGAAGCAGCACAAGCTCTGCGCCAAGAAGGCCCACGTGATGTTCACCCTGCTGACCGCGTACCAGAAAGGGGGCAGCTACTCCCAGGGCGTCGTCACCGCCATGGATGATGGCGACCACTTCCTACAGATGCAGCCCTTCCCGGTGACTGATTTCAAATGGCCCGCGTTCCTCATGTGCCAGCGCCACGAGCTTCGCGCCCTGGGCGCGGACGAGAAGAGCTTCTGGAACATGGTCACGACCCACGTCTTGCTCGACGTTGGCTACGCTGACGAGGCCAGGGAACCCAACAGCAGACGACGAGATGACGTCTCGTCGACGTTGTCAGAACAGAGGTCACTCGTCGTCGTCGTCCGTCGTCCGTCGTCATCATCCGTCGCCAGTCGTCGTTCCCAAGCGGGCATAGTCGGGTTCGTGCCATCCCCGAGGTTGGTAGCGTCCCCCATCCATTCGCGCATGATAGCGTCAGTATGTTGTGTTATCGCTTTTAGGCGTTGTCTCTCAGGCTTCAGCGCGCGACGCCCAGTACGAAATCATTTCGCAGAAGATTGTCGCCGTTGGTTCTTCTATGCCATTGGACCCAGTCCCGAGTTTCAAACGGCTCCTGGACCCGATGATCACCCCGTTGCACTCGCTCGCCAGCGACGTCGGCGAGGACGTGACCGACTGCTCTGCGATCGCCCACTATGAAGAGTGCACCTTCTGGGGAAACAATCTTGCCCCGACCCCGCCTCTCTTAAAAGCTCCCGGGGGCCTCCTTAAAAGCCCCCAGGGGTGTTTGCTGAGAACCCCCGCTTCAGCGCAGGTGCAACAGCGAGGAGGAGCTGCGCGCGTTGGAGGCCGCGCTCGCTCGCATCGACGGCGATTCGGATAAGATCCTGCACGCTTGCATTGAGAGTGCGGGGGGCAAGTTGATGCGCAAGCGCGCCCGCGCGCGTGTCGAGGCCGTCGGGGCGCAGAACTCCGCGAAGGACATCGTGGTGAGTGCGATCGCGAAGCTGAGGGAGTCCGCCAAGATACCGTTGGACTGGTGCGACTCGATCATAGACGAGCCCCAGTCGCAGAAGTTGCCGCACGATATTACTGCAACTTTGCTAGCGCCCCACAAGAGCGCGATCGAGGCGGCCAAGGGCCGAACGTGGAGGCAGGAGGTGGAGAAGGAGGAGGAGGAGGAGAAATGAGGAGGAGGAGGGGGGGGGGGGCGGATGGGGGGGAGGGGAAGGGCGAAAGAGGAGGGGGGGGGGAAGGGCGAGGAGGATGGGCGGGAGGAGGAGGAGGTGGAAGGGATGAGGAGGAGGACGAGAAGGAGGTGGGGGATGACGATCAGGAGGGGGAGGAGGGGGGGAGCAGGAGGGGGGCGAGGGCGATGGGGGGGGAGGATAAGGGGGATGAGGACGAGGAGGGCGAGGAGGAGTAGAAGGAGGAGGGGGTGGTGGAGGAGGAGGAACAGCAGGAGAAGCGTCGTCTTCCATAGGCCTGCCCGTTCCCCCCCCCTCGCCTCGCTTCCGCGGCAGGGGCTGCAGCGCATCGAGCCCGTGCAGAGCGTCTGGCCGGCGAGTTTCCCATCGGGCATCAACTATGCGGCTGACGTTGTGATACGGCTCTTCTTAGCGGACAGGATCGATTACTCAACTGATGCGCCGGGGATGCAGACCGGGGGGCCCAGCTGGAAGGAGCTCGGAAGTTCGGTGCATTCCTTCGCTTGGTGGGAAGAAGCTTTCGGTGATGTCTCTTACGGGGCGGAGGAGGAGCCGAAGTCTTGGTCGGACGTCGCCCCAGGACCTCGCGTGGCCGTTCAGCTGGTGAAGACGATCGACGAGCTCATCCAGCTCGTTCAGCCTCAAGAGGAGTCGATGACTCTCAGTGATGCCTGCGACAAGTTGTGCATCTGCAAGAAGTTCAGTAGAGATGGGATACCGCCCGTGATCACTGAATGCGTCGCAGCTGCGGACCCGCCGATCCATGCCAACGTCCTTCCGCAAATGGCGCAGGCGCTTTCCCTTCAAGAACTCGGCCAGGGATTGCACGCCCACGTGTCGCGGGACATCAACCCTCAGGTCCAGGCAGTGTGCGACGAGTTGCAAGCGATGTTCACCGTCGAAGAGACTGTCGCCGCGAAGCCGTGCGTGATCGCGTTCCGGAAGGCGGAGCTCATTCCAAAGTGCGCGGCCGGCGTGCAGCATGTTACGGGCGCCCTCCTCAAGTTGGTTGCTTCTTGTGGTGATGATCTCTTGGGGCAGCAGCTCGTCTTCATCAAGGACATCTTCGCGACTGTGAGGGTCATCGCCGAGATGATAGCAGTGTTCAACCCGATTGTCCATGATGCTGACAAGCGCCGTGTATCGCGCGCTTTGGTAGACAAAGTGATGGCGGTGCGAACGCACGCCCGCAGTCTTGCAGAGAAGCCCCCGCAGCCAACGTTGTTCTTCCTTACGAACAGTGACCTGAGGTGCACTCTCTTGGACGGACTCTTCGACTCGATCTCGGTCTCGTCGGAGGTGGTCCGCCAGGCCGACGCCGCCATCAAGGATGTCATCGATATGTGGGTCGAGGACGGAAACACGCTGAGCGCCGCGATGAAGTCGTGGCACCCCAAGGATTGGCATTGGGCTAAGGATAACCACAGCGCTGGTGATGCCCTGACGAACGCCGACATGCGGAGCAGCTTCCTCGGGAACATGAACTACCCTAAGCTCGGCCCCTGCGCGGACATCCTGCTCGACATGCGCGCGAACCTCAAGGCAGGGTCGAGGGGGCAGCAGATAGGCGAGGACGAGGAGGGGGAGGAAGAGGAGAAGGAGGTGGAGGAGGAGGAGGGGAAGGAGGACGAGGAGGAGGAGGAGGAGGGGGGGGCGAGGAGGGGGGGGAGGAGGAGGGGGAGGAGGAGGAGGAGGAGGAGGAGGAGGAGGAGGGGGAGCAGGGGAAGGATGAGGAGGAGCATGAGAATGGGGGCCACGACGACTGGTGCTCCTGATCATTTCCTCCTCCTCCTCCAGCTGCCCTCGTCAGCTCGATGCTCTCATCGCCCTCGTCGCGGACCTCCCTCCTCCTGCTGCCTCTCCTCGTCCTCAGCCTTTCTCCGTCATCCTCCTCGTCCCCCCAGGGGGGGGGGGGGGGTTCTGGGGCCACTCCGCCTGAGGCGGTCAACGTGAGCGGCATGCCTCACCTCGTCGGGGGCGAGGTCTTCTCCGCCTGGACGGACATCGCTGAGAGCAGCAACGAGCTCGTGGTTTGCACGTTTATGCTGCATTTAATTTGCGAGGAGCTGCCCAGCCTGAAGGACCGTGCGTTCCGCAAGGCTGAAGTGGACAAGGCCCGCGCGGACCTCAAGACCTCGGGCCGCGTCGCCCCGGATTGCTTCGAGGCGCCCTTGCTCGCCTTGTGCGAGGACGGCGATGGCCAGTGATGCGCCAGCCGCCCGCCTGTCGTTCAGATTCCGTTGACGCTGCTCCCAGAGGCCCTTTAGGACTCCGCATCGCATTCCGAGCATTCCCCGAGGCCGTCAGAGGGCCGCGGATCCCGTCGTGGCCGCCCTGGCCCCACTTCAGAATTCGGAATTCGAGTGGCCTTGGGGGGCCCAGTCAGGTCCAGGGCCGCAGAGGGGGGTGGCGGCATCGGCGCGTTGGCTCCTCGCGCCGCGCGGTCAGGTGCTCGCGCGGGGCACGCGAGCTGCGGGAGGACCGCGCATGGGGTGGCGGGAGGTGCCGCACGCAATCTGACAGATTGCACGTCGTTGAACGAGTGGAAGAGCGCCTCGCCCTCGCCCCTCATCGTTGCAGAGGAAGTAGAGGAGGAGGAAGAGGAGGACGACGACGACCAGGAGGGGGAGGAGGAGGACGAGGAGGGAGAGGGGAAGAGGAGGAGGAGGAGGAGACGAGGAGGAGGATTAGGAGGCGGACCACGAAGACGACGGTGACTGGCCCGCCTCTTATCTTCTTACCTTCTACCTTCTCATCTTCCGGCTGCCCTTCTCATCTTGCTTCTCCTCTTCGTCCTCGTCGTGGATCTCCATCCTCCTGCTGTTCGTCCTCGCCCCTCCGGCCTCCTTTGTCATCATCTTCATCTTCTTCATCCCCTTGGAGGGTCATGATAGTCGGCGCCCGCTGTCCCCTTTCATCGGGCACCCAATAATCGGGGCCAGGTTTCACGGACTTGACACGTTGGCCGCGCATATCGCATATCCAAGATCCAAGGCCTTCGGCCAGAGCCTCGGGCTCACCGTCAGACCCAGGGAAGATGCCTACGCGAGCTGCCTTGATCACGGGAGCGTAGCAGCATCAGCAGCATGCATGTTGTGCATGCTGCATGCAGTGTAGCCGCAAGAGAGGCTCCGAGAGGGGCCCCAGATTCCAAGAGGACCCCCAGCGGGCTTTCAAGCCCAAGAGGCTCCAGGAGGGTTCCACGAGGCTCCGAGTGGGCCTCAAGAGGGCCCCAGGGCGCCCCAAATATGGCACATGAAACGCATGCGTTGGGATTATTGATTTTTTTTGTTGTTGAAATTTCCCTTGTTAATTATTGTTTTTTTCATTATTATTAATTATTGTTAATTATTGTTTTTTGATGTTTTTTTTTGTTTTCTCGTTTCGAATTGTTGTTTTTTGTTTCGAAGTGTCGTTCTCCGAATTATCGAATTATTGTAATTATTGTTTCGGAATTGTTGTTAAACATCTTATTGTGGTTCCTCGTCCTGCTCAACCCATATCTTTGATTTCCGGACGTTCGTTCTTACGTGTTTCGTTTTCTTGCGTTGTCGAGCTTCAGCGCTCAAGATGGCCGAAGCCGCCCCGAAGATCTCCCAATACCGCCGAAGAGGCTCCCCCAAAAAGAGCCCCAAAACGGCCCAGGAGAGCTTGACGTTTGCCCGAAAACAGCCCAATATTGCCCAATATGAACTTAGGTGAGGCACCAGAAGGGCCCCAGAGAGGGAGTGGGAGGCCCCAGGGAGCTCCAGGACGGCCCAGATGATCCCGATTTGGCCCAATAGGAGTTCAAGACGGAAAACACAGCCCAAGTGGCCTCCAAGAGGGCCCAAGAGAGCGCCGAGAGTCGCCCCGAGAGAGCCCAAAGAGGCCCACATCATTAATTTGCACTGGTTTGGTTGATATGCTTCGCTTTCTCGCGCTCTACCAACGCCGCCCCAGTACCGTCGAAGAGGCATCCAAAAAAACCCCAAGACGGGCCCAGGGAACGCGAAAATTGCCCAGGAGGAGCCCCAGACCCAAGAGAACCCCAAAACGGGCCCAAGCTGGGCCACAGAGCGGGAGCGGGAGGCCCCAAGGCGCTCCAAGACGGCCCAGATGGCCCGGGCCTCCCCCCTCCGTCCCGCCTTCCTTCCCGCCCCCTCCCGTTGCCTCCATTCCCTCCTCTCTCCTCTTCCTCTCCTCCCCCCTCAGCTCTCGTGCTCCTCCCTCCTCTCCTGAGACGGCCCCGCCAGAGCGCCAGACAGGCCCCGCCAGAGCGAATGGGGCATCGCTATACCCTATCATTTCACAAGTTGCTTTGCCCCTCCCATCCCTCAAGGGCGGTCCCGGCAGAGCGAGAGAGGTTTTGCTATACCATTAACAGTCCTTGTTCTGTTTTGCTCCTCCCACCGCGCCCGAGGTAGCCCCGTCAGAGCGCACGGGGTGTGGCTATACCATAATTGTCTTCAGTGCTCGTGGTCCTCCCTCCCCTCCTGGTCAAGCCCCGCCAGAGCACCAGGGAACCCAGCGCCAGAGACAGCAGGGCTTGCCTATACCATATTCTTGCGCACGATTATTGCACTTCCCACCCTTGCCGGGCGGACCCGCCCGAGCGAGCGGAGTGTGGCTAGGCTACACACTTCCTCAGGTTTCGTGCCCCTCCTTCGCCTCCTGAAAAAGGCCTCGCCAGAGAGCGCCAAGAAGGTACCGCCAGAGGCCCCGTCAGAGCCCCAGGCAGCACCATACATGGGACTAGCCAGGCAAATCATTGAGCATCCCCCGTCAGCCAGAACCTTGTGCTCCAACGGGTGCACAGCCGGCATGATGTTCGGTGTCCAGCACAAAAAAAGTTCCCCACTGTTGGGGGCGGGCTCGACAACAACTGATTGCAGAGAAGGGCGCTGATGACCGGGACATCTGCGCGCGCCCTCTGCAGATACCCGACAGCTGAACGACCGCTGGCAACGAGAAGCTTGGACCACAAGGAAGAATAACAAAAAACAGCGCGTTCCCACGCGCGCGCAACGAGGCCCCGATCCGCCCCAACATCAGGAGCCGGCGGATGTCTGCGTGATCGGGCATGGGGAGACCGAACAGATGCGCAAAATCATTGAGTGCCACGACGGGGCAGAGCGGAAGTGAAAGTGGAGGAACACACAAAAAGACGCAGTTCGGTAAACCAAGCAAAAGCGGCAACGAGATTGTGAGATGCGCGGGAACGTGGCGCCCCTCTTTCTGACTACGCGTTTATGTGCGTCGATGGCATGGGGCTGAGAACGCTGGAAATCGTCGTTATGTCCACAGCAGGGTTTGCAGCAACACCAGTGGCTCATCTGCGACTAGAACTAAAGCGCGCGCGTAACGCGCGTGGTTCTAGTGCGTGTATACATACATGTATGTGTGTATATATATATATACACACGTACACATACACATACATATATGCATATATAAACGTTTATAGCTATGCACCTGTGTATATATATATATATATATATACACATCTATGGACACCCGTACATACACATCTATAATCCCAGCGCGTCCTCGACCCAGGAAGCTCCCAGCACCAAGAGGGGGCCAGAAAATTCCACCGAAGCCCCCTGGCCCAAACGTGCCCGAGACGGCCCCGAACAAGCCCACGAGGGACCCAGGACGGCCCAACAGGGCGCCAAAAGAGCGCCAAAAAAAACCCAAGAGACCCCGCTGACGGTCTCGTGAGTCCAGGACAGCCCAGCCCCGAGACGGCTTCAGAGCCTCACACTTGGCCTTTCGGCCCCCGAGGCCGTCCCAAGACACCCTACAGACGGCTCCCAAACAACCCAAAAAAGAAGCCCAAAGAGGCACCCGAAGAGTGCCGCATGATCGCCCTGAAATCTTTAGCCGCTGGCTAAAGGGAATGGAGGGGGAGGCAGGAGTTGGAGAGAGGAGGGCAGGGGGAGGATGGGCGAGGATGCGTGGAAGAGGGAGGAGGCAGGATGGGAGAAGAAGGCGACGAACGAAAACATACTCGGGAGGGCGATGGGCGGGCCGTGATGGGGCCAGAGGAGCGAGGGACGTAGGGGTGGGAGGGGTGACGAGGGAAGATAATGAACAGGAGGTGGAGGAGAAAGAAGAGGAGGTGGCAAGAGGAAGGGGCCTGTGGTGAGGCTTCCCCCCTTGCCTTTTGAGGGCTTCCTTGTCCTAGACGTCGCAACTTCTGCATAGCCCACATGCGTTGTTCGTGCACAAGTAGTTGCAGTTGGGTTGCTGTCGAGGATCCGGGCCTGCTACAACCTCAGCTCGCGCGAAGCGCGCGTGGTTTTGGTATGGCATATCCGCCATATTGGGTATTAGGGCGTAACATGGTACGTCATAACAGAACCTGTTACGCTGTCCAGTGCATCGCATCATACAGCATACTTGAGCATAAGACAATACATACTCATCATTGAAGAGAGCCGGCCACCATGGAGCATAATGTAACAGAGCATATCAGAAGATGCACGGCTTGTTCTACGAATGATGTAGTTTTGGCAACGCATACAGTGTGGCATGGCGGAATCGTTCATCATGCAATGTGGATATCGTGCAATGCCAGGGCTCAACATGGCTTGATACAATACAGAAGCATGGCATCCTTCATTATACCAGGGCCTACCATGACATTCAATACCATGCCATAACCAAGCACAGCATCACATATCATGTGCACCATAACGTAATTCTTCAGATTGTGGCAGAGTTGGGCATACGCGAGTAAAACCTGCCAGAACATACACATGTTTGAAATAATTGTGTTGCCGCTGTTACTGCGACAACGGTTGGCACGATTGACCACGCACCTCTTAGCATGACAAGCTCACAGTATAATACAAAGGCCAGCGAAACACATAACATGTCACATCACATCGTACCAGGTCCGAACATAACATAATAGGGTTGAACCACACCTGATCGAACACACCACCGCCTAACACATCATACCCACTCGTAACGCATCACACTGCAGCAGGGCAGGTCATACCATAGCATACCCTAGCAGAGACAAGCATAAGAGAACGTACTTGTTCAATTGCAGCTAGTCGTGCTGAAACATGTATTTACATTTACAATATGTTAAGTTCTCCTTCAAGAAATGTCTCATACCATGACATCGCGCATCATGAAACAACGTGACAGCTAAGAACCCCCCATTCGTACAGCAAAGCAGAAATGCTATCAATACCCAAAATTGCATAGCATCCCTTACACAAGCGACAGGGTTACTGTATCTGACAAACGCATAGCATTGCAACTGCGAGCAAACAGCTAAATAACCACAGAGCGCCACACGCGTAGCATATTGCAACTGAAATGTTTAATGCGAGTGTAACTTTGTGCGTAGCTGGATTTCGCCATCAGAGTGAGAGCGCAAGGTCGTGTCACAATAGTCCATAACAAGAGGGCACACGTGAGTGCAATAGCATAATTGCATATTATCACATTGTATTGGATACTATAGAACAGATCTGAACACAAGCGAATATGACATTCCATACCAATGCAGGTAATAGGACAGACCGTAACCTGATACCGCTGAGTAGTACACAACTGAAGACAGTTGAATGTAACACCTTACAGCATGTCATTTTGCAAGTGCGCATTGTAGAAATGACCCTATCATGGCAGAGCGTATCACCATATAATCAGTATTCCAAGATCGAGCATGGCCGAATACCAGTGTCGAGAGAGCAACAACGGCATATTAACTGCGTCTCATCAACCGCGACGTGCGCGACGAGGTCCGCATAGCCACAGGAACAAGGAGGCGCATCAACGACAGACTGGTCGACGTGTCGAACGTGACCAGCGTCACGACGTCACGCCTGCCCGCTGACGACATACCATAACAACACCACGTGTTCCAGAACATAGGAGATGTCAGTGCAAGATTGTTGATGACAGTGGATACCGTAGCGACCGATTGGTGGCGCCCTATGCAACGCAACGCTGGACACAGGAACCAGCCACACATGTATTTAGTATACATGTATACGTGCATATGCACATCTGTATGCATACACTAGAGCATAACCGAACATGACGTGATAGAGTCTAGTGCAGCAACGACCACAAACGTCGAAGGTTGCGGTGGTGATCGCTCTGAGCGAAATATGTTTCATTCGTTTGTTCACTGGGAGTGCTTTTGATGTTTTAAAGTGTTGTTCTCGCCGCGGCGCGGGAGTCGTTTGAGGACCGGAGCTCTGCTAACGTCGTTCATAATGGCCCCGACGCCCTAGCGCGGGCCATTGTTCTGGATCCGAGTCCTTCCACATCGTTGCCGCCCCGCCCCTTTCACTTGTCCCCCACCTCCCCCTGGTCATTCTGCTCCTCCCGCTCGCCCCACTTCTGCTCCTGCTGTTTGTGCTCCTCCCTGTCCCTCCTCCTCCTCCTCCTCCTCCTCCTCCTCCTCCTCCTGCTCGTCCTCAAGATCCTCCGCCGCCTCCTCCTCCAGCGTGCGCAGCCCCCCGCCGGCGCATCGGCCGCGGCGCCCCGTCCTCCGGGGATCCCTGGGCTGGCCAGGCCGCGCGCGCGCCAGCAGGCGAGCCAGAGGCCGGAGGCGACCGCGTTCTGCGGCAGCACCTTCTCCGCGGCGCGCCGCGCACGTGGCCGCCGTCGTCCTCGTCGACGCTGGCGACGCCGTGGTCGGCTGCCGCCGCCGCCGCTGCCGTCGTCGGCGTCAGGGCGGCCCCATGGCGCGGGGGCCGTCGGACTCTCGGCCTCCCAAGCTCGGGAGGGGAGAAGCACACAGACACAATGAAGCGTCGATTCCCCCGAAAAGTAGGAAAGTATGGGAAGTGGGGGGGGAAGACGAAAATCCAGAAAATGTAGACACATATGAGAATCCTGGGATTTGTGTGTGTGTGTGTTTATTCGTGTGTCCCTGGGCCCCTTTACAAGCGGGGTCGAAGTGGATGGTGTCGGAGGGTCGCGCCGCATGGTCGATGCATCGGCGATGCAGCTCGATCTGGAGCCAGAATGTCCCCACGCCGATGTCGGCCTGATGCATCGGCGATGCTTCGGCGATGCGGTGCAGTCTTCCGACCCCACCTGCTCGGGCCACACATAGGAGGCCTCCTCGGACGTCGTCGGGGTCTCCACAGGGGGAGGGGGTTCTCGGAGGCTCTGGGGGCTCGGTCCCGGGATCAAGGCCCAGGAAGCGCAGGGCAAAGAAAACACAGAGAGCAAGAACAGAAGGATCAGAAGGATGGGGACGAAGAGCAGAAGGAGGAGCAAGCGAACAGACGAGAAGGAGAGGAGGGGCGCACACGACGACGACGACGACGACAACGACGACGACGACGACGACGACGACGACGACGACGACGACGAGAGGACGACGGTAACGACAGGTTCTCGAAGGCCTTGGGAGGTTCTCGGAGGCCGTGGTCGTCGTTCCTGGTCATCCTCCTGCCCCCCCCCCCCCACCCCACCCCACCCTCCCTCCCGTCCTGCCTCATCGCCGTTCCTTGCCTGCCCTCTGCCTGCATCCTTCCTCCCCTGTGCACCCCAGCTCTTCCAGCAGCATGCCTCCCGCCTCTATACCCCGCCCGCTCGCTGCCTCCCGATGCCTCTCTCCTTCTTGTTGGTCGTTGCCTTCTGCCTTCTCCTTCCCAACTTCCTGCCTCCTTCCCTCCTGCTCCCTCCTTCCCTCCTTCTCCTGTTCCTTCTCTCCGTCCCTCCTTCCTGCCTCCCATCTTCTCCTTGGTCGCTGCTTCCTGCCTTCTCCTCCTGCTTCCTGCATTGGTCGCTGCTTCCTGCTTCCTCGTCTCCTTCCTCTTGCTCACTCCCCCTGGCGCTGCCTGCACCCCCGTCAGGGCAGTGTGCTCCCGTCTCGTTTTCGGATGAGTTCTGAAGTGGCATACGCCTCAGGACGTTTGGCGCCTGGCGAGGTTGGGATAGTGAGATCGGGGCCGATCGCTTTGACATATCCGCGCAAGCCGCGCGTGTAGGGTTGCACGTACAGTCAAAAACCCTCATAAGGACGCGCGGCTTTGCTCAGTGTACCCATGCGTCCTTGCTCTTCCTTGCTCTTGCGTCCTTGGGGTTTTCGTCGTCCGCCGCCCCAAAAATCCCAACTTCGGCTTCCAAGGGTCTTGCGTCCTTACCGCGCGTCCTTATTAGGGTTGTTGACTGTATCCGCGCAGGCCGCGCGTGTAGGGTTGCACGTAGGGCCCCTCTTCTCCACACTGTGTGCCGTACTGAGGGCCCGCATACATCGGCCTCGTGCCGCGCTGACGTGGCGGCGCCTCCAGTGGTCGCAGGCGATTATCATCCCCCAAATCCCCCTCCTCATCCTCCCCCTCATCCCCCTCCTCCTCCTCCTCCTCCTCCTCTCCTCCTCCTCTTCCTCCTCCTCCCCATCCCTCCTCCTCATCCTCCTCCTCCTCCTCTTCCTCCTCCTTCTCCCCCTCCTCCCCATCCCCCTCCCCATCCTCCTCCTCCTCCTCCTCCTCCTCCTCCTCCTCCCCCTCCTCCTCTTCCTCCTCCTCCTTTCTCCTCCTCCTCCTCCACAATTACTCAATATGAATACTACTCTCCCTCTTCCCCTGATGACGTCTTTTGCGTATTCGCCCCCCCCCCCCCGCGTACTGTTTTTTTACACACACGATTCCCCGGAGTTGGGTTTTCGCCTGCGTTTTTTTTTCAAAATGCTGCTCTCGCTGAGGCGCCGGCCTCATTTCTGCTCCCGAATCGTTCCGAATCGTGCTCCCGCTGCAGCGTGGGCCTCATTTTCGGATCGGTGTTTTGCCTCCGTCGTTCAGGATGGCGTTCTCGCCCCAGCGCGGGCCTCTTTCTCGCGCGCCCATCCGCCCGCCACCACCGCGCCGCACCACGCCCCGCCCGGCCGCACGCACACCCACCGCCACTTCCACCCACCAACGCACGCACGCACGCACGCGCACCACCACCGCGC